TTAACTTTATTTTATTTTATTTAACTTTATTTTATTTATTTTTTCATTTATTTCACCCTTTTTTGGTGTTGTCTGTGCCCATTTTTTTTTTCTTCTTCTCAATTATTAATTCTTATTAATCTTTTATATCTTTCTGATGTGGCTGTATATGTATGTCCATGTTTGGATGTTTGGACAGGGGGTTGTGTTGTGTCATGGGTGGACGTTGTACAAAAAATCTAACATTTTCTTCCTGTACAGTGATTGTCTTATGCTATAGTGTACATACTTTGTCATCAATAAAAAGACCATTGAAGAAAAAAGTTATCTACTACTAGATTATAATTAGGGATGTATTAATGTGTAAGCATCACTAATGATGTAGCTGGTAAAGAAGGGGCTACTTTATATACTGCAGGGTTGCTTAATCTATAACAATCTATCATAATTAGTTAATTACATTTTGTATGAAGCATCTGAATATAACTCTAGTAACTAAAGTTATAAAATATATGTAGCAGAATAAAAAATACAATATTTGCCTCCAAATTATAGCAGAAAAATGGAAGTAAAAGTACATAATAATTGGACTTAAAGGTCCAGTGTGTAACATTTAGGAGGATCTGTTTGCCGAAATGGAATATAATATCTATAGGTATGTTTCCTTTAAGTACAGAACTTGATTAAATGTATTTAGCTATATTCCACCACTCCCTAAAGACTGTTGTTTGTTCTGACAAATGTACACAGTTTGTTTGTCCTCTGCATTCAAAGTGCATTCATTTTCAAACTTCTGATGTCATTTTACAGAAGCTAATGCTGGCTGCGTTGGCATTTAGGAATAAATATGCTAGTCGACCATATCTGCCAGAGGAACTCATCCCCACTGACCACAAGAAGGTACCAAAAAGATTTCCCAGCCTCCTATCATTCTTCTAATTATGTTTTGCCAATGATATCACTATTATTATTATAATTTTTTGCATTTCCACCTGCAGCCTTTTTTCAGCGTTGACTCAGACGTGCAGTGGCCTGAGTGGTCTTCTCGTGATGCTGAGCTCGGACCAGGAGGCGAGACCCTCATCAGGTCTGAGGAGGGGCGAGCCGTGTTGACGCTGTCGCCCTCGGGTGAAGAATTCTCCGTCGAGTTCACATGCAGCCTCAGTCGGACTCCGAATCAGCACCACAGCCTGCAGGGGTTCAGCAGAGACTCTGACAGCAATCTGATCTGTCAGACCACCAATGAGGAGACCAAAGAGGTTCATCAGGGGAGAGGAAGCAGAAGGAATGAGTCTGTTAGATCAAGATCTTGCTCTCCTCGGATTACCAGCGCTGCTCAGTCAAAGGTAATGCTTCTTAATAATATTACTGTGCTCATATCACAGCTTTGATTAAATGATTTACTTACTTTACTTCCTCTCTCCTCTCTTCCCAGCCAGAGGACATGTACCAATCCACTGCAGTGGTCCAGCATCACTCCTGCTGCGCTGTCGCCCCCTTCTGGCGCTACCCTCTTTCCTTGGCTCACCATCTCTGGACGGCTCGTGTCTCTAAACCGGAAAATGTCAGCGCAGAGGAAGACAGCGATCTCACCCGGGCATACAGGAGAATAAAGTTGTCAGACATATCCGTTGAAGAAAGAAAGTCTCACCTTCCTCAGGCGCTGTCTCTCACATGTCCATCGCCTCACTGGCACAGGTTGAATGATCAGTTGACTCGAGTAAATAATGTGGAGCACAATTTAACAATGTTCATTGACTGATTTAAGCTTCTTTACTCGTTTATTTTAGGTGGAAGGTTAAAGACCCCCTGGATAAAAAAGAATATGCAGACCAAGATCTTCCAACAGAGCTGGTAAAAGTGATGTGGTGTCACGGAGTCACCTACAGGTAGGTCTGCAGGTTTCCAAGGTTAAAAAGGACATTGAAACATCAAAGGTTTATATTTCATGCTCAAAATGAGGAAAAAATAGATATTTCACAAGAAAAGGACACAGTTCCTGTCTGCCTTAACCTTTCTAAAGGTTATCTGAAATTCACTTGCCACTAGATGTTGCACTAGAGCACCAGCATCTCAGTCCAAAAACAATGGGCACTATGGCTGACAAGACTCCAATGACAAAACCAGTAATTTTATCTGGCAGATAATTATAAAACACACTTTGAACAAAATAATACTCACAGTCTTTGTTAGTTCCTCCACAGTCTTTCCAACAATTATACAAGTTGGTTTGGTCTAAATAAACTGTTAATTGACTCAGTTAGATATATTAAAATATTTATGAAACAGGCTGTAATAGCAGCGGCAACAAATGCGCCGGTCAAAGCACATCCGGTAAAGCCACTGACAGACTGAGATTGAGAGTGTCTATAAACATTACGGAAAGGATCCCTGCAGAGATAGACCTTTTGTTTAACCAGAAGCAGCCATAGTATTGCACTTGCCACCAGACTCCATAAACAAAAACAGCAATTTTACCTCACATATCATTGCAACATCATAACTTTATTAAAAGAGAACAGAAACAAAATAAAACTCACCAAAACTGTCTTTGTTAGTTTTTCCACTGTTCCAACAATCACCAATTCTGGTTTGGTCAAAATAAATCCTTAAGTGAAGGTTTCTCTGCTGGAAATAAAGGGACTCACATGCACTAACATGCATGCATGGCCTTACCAGCTTTCTAAACAGAGCACAGAGAGGCTGTGATAGCAACACAGGCAAAATGTGATGTTCATTATATTTTTACATAGAAAATAATTGTTTGCTGCCATATTATTAGGTAAGTTTAAGTCTCATATATATGTATAACCTTTAGTGTAGTGTGTAGTGTGTAGTGTAACTGTGTGTTTACCTGTGTGTCTCCTGTGTAGGATACTGAGCGGGGCTGTCTCAGTTGTAGAGGTTTCACCGGGAGATGGATCTGTCATCCGGTCTAACGGTGTACTCAACACTTATTTCACTCATCACAAACCTGAGCTCCTGTCAGGGCGGGTAAATTTCATACCTATAGTCTAATCTACTATATTTAAAGTAGCACTGGAGTTAAAACACAAAGCCAAACCGGTATGAAGTGAGTTGCATAAATGAACAAAGCCTGATTAATTGATTGTGTCTATCTCACAGGTGAAAGAGGTAACTTACCATCTGAACAACCTTCCACCGGATGTACCCGGACAGCTGTACTCTATAAGCTCTATTGTCAGTCGTGCAAGCAGGTAAGTCACTGCTTTACAGTCTGAGTCCGACTTTATTTCATCAGTCCCTGACTATCACATCTGTGTTTTACAGGATCCTCACGTGCTACAACGAGGCCAAGCAATCACTGAAGCTCCCTGTGACACCCAGCTGCTTGCAAGAGGTTGAAAAAGTAGTCCCTGCAAATATTACCACAACTGTTGTTGACAGTATTCAAGCTTCTAACTTGATTATGATTTGGTTTCCAGGGCCAACAATTTTCTAAAGCAGCAAAGATTGAAGAAAATCTGTCAAATCCTGTATCTGTTGAGCAGCATATGTATGTCATGCAGATGGCAGAAAGTCGGTGAGTTATATGTGCTCACTCCTTTGGTATTCTAATACTGAAAGTAATGTGTTAACAGCTTGTATATAATGTTTCTTTCCACCTTTTATATTCAATTTAGGTCAGATCTGGTAGCTGCAGAATTGGAGAAGATAAAACGATTCAACTGTATCCTTTAACATTAAGATGACAGCAATAAGCGGCTGTGTACATTAATATACTGTGAATCACCCATGTTATATTAGGTCACATGCACATAAATAATGCTGTGGAAGACGGTGCATGCTCTTTAACATCCTGTGCTCAGTTCTGCTGGAGAACAACCACCTGCTAAGGAGTGAGAGACGATGTGCAGAACCAGACGGTAGTTCTGTAGAAGAGGTGACTCAAGAGGCAGTGACTGAGAACTGCATCGCTGACGCTCTTCGAAGGACATCCAAAGCCATACAGGACATTGATGCTCTCATATCTGCAGCCACGCTGACGTGAAAGAGTCCCGATTAAGAGAAGAGTTTAAAAAGAAGAAAGCCTGACTGTTGGGACTTTGAATATATATATATATAAAGTTTTACTTCTGTGTGTGTAGAGATTGAAATAAAGATTTTTCTTTATGTCGATGCTGGTACATGGGTTTTAACTCTTAGATTTGGAGTTTGTATTAATTGTATAAGGTTGTATTAACTACTGACTCTGGCATGACCTTATATACCAACAACATGAATATAGAAGGTTTTGTCCCAGTTGCTAATTACAATATTTTTGTCGTGACACAGTCCCTTCCTGTCAGATAAGAACTTGCAATGGTGCAAAATGAATTTTAACACCTTGATGTTTCCTCCTACACACACAACAACTTGTCACAAGATGTCACTGATTAAAAAAAAAAAAACTATTTCTGGATTATAAACTCAAGTGCATGACTAAATGTAGGTCGCTACTCCACTAACCTGCGGACTTGCGTTTAAGTCTATCCCTTAGGTGCAATATGTTTATCAGGGCATTGTTGAAAGCCCATAAATGGTTTTATTAAGTGGCGTGAGTGTTGATTGACATAAGGACCCTCCATAGTCAAAAAGCATAAAAAAAACATGAAATGTATGAGAGAAGATAAACAAATTCGCAAATATATGCTATATGCCATCTTGTCTTTTTCATTTCTCAATAAATTACAGCTGTAAAACAACTACCTGTGTGCTGATGTTCAATTTCCTCCTCTTGGGACAGAAGGGCTGTATGGAGTCATGGTAATGGTACTTCTATGCATGTGTATTTTATATTGTAAACAAGAGACAGGTTTTTAGTTATCTAGTTTATCATTTTATATTATGTAATTTTTTATTCTTTATATTTGGAGCTTAACATTCCTGTCACAGTATGTATTCAATAATGATCGGTTGTTCTCGCTGAGTGTTAAAGGTTTGTATATTTTCAAGAGGCACGCACAAACAAACTCCCAGCAGCTGTGTCTTGTGCACATTTAGTCTTTATTATGGCTACAGATTTTGAATCACACTGAACAGAGGGCACTTGCCTTTTTTCACTCAGTTCAATAGAGTCCAATACTTCCTTTATAGGTGGAGCAAGTCTTTTTTTTTGGTATCACAACAACTGTATCACGCAGCCTCTGGCCACACAGGCTCACTTACACAGCACTTACATACCAGAATCAAAGATCAGGTGAGTGGTTCCTCTTAATTTTTTCAAGAAACTGATGCTCCTCTTGAAATCTTCTGTTATAGTTTTCTTATTTTTTTTTTTGCTTCCTGGGGTGTGCATGTAATGTTATTTATATTCATGCTTGCTTCACTAATATACGGCAACATTAAAAAGTGAAGAGAGAGACTTTGTAGACTAAAGAAACTCTTTCATTTTCCTATATAGGAAAGGTCATACACTTGGGGACTCATGGCTCAGTTCACCACAAGTCGCAGCTCTGTACCAGATGCTTCCTATAAATTAGCAGTCCGACAAGAGCTGTGCGCTGTATCCTCTGTTCAAGAAAGAATAGCTGCCTTTGAGGAGCAACTATCAGGTTCTGCCAACACAACCACTAAGCCTGTCTTTAATAAAAGATTCAATGCTACTCTTCCACCATCCCAATATGCAAAGCCACTGTCATCATTTGAACCTGCTAAAACACAGACACACAGGGACTTCTCTGGATCCTCTGTGCATTCTCAATCCAAAAATGTAATGATGAAATCTACAGTGAAATCCAATAGTAATGTCTACAGCAACACCAGCGTCTCTCTTACTTCAACCAAGTCAGTATGGACAAACGATAAAAGACTGGAGTCTACCACCATAATGAAATCAAAAACCCAGGAATCCAAACTGTCTCTGGCACAGCAAAGCAGTGTTACCAAAGAGCAAAGTTTGACTGAAGGTGAATACGGTGTGAAAAGCATCACCGGCACTAAGCCCCCCAGACTTCCACATAGGCCGAAACCTAACAATAGCAGAACAAGTGGAAGCCAGAATAAATCCAAAAGGAGCCTTCCTGATGTGCCTGCTCTGGGAAAGCCTCCTCAGAAGCCTAACAGGCCTCCAGATGTTGACATTGATCGATTTAGAAGGAATATAAAGTCTTTGAATGCTGGTGAGAAACAGTTTTTCTAAGAAAAGCATAATTCACACATCTGGTTATTGTTTCTTCAAATACTATAATGTTTTTTTTTTAAATGTACTCTGTAGCTGACTGTTGTGTGTTAAATCAAATATTTTTGTGTGACAGCATTAGGGGTGAAGACACCGTGTCCTGTTCAGCCACCCGCCCGTCCACCTCCACGCCCGTGCCAATCATCCAACCATGCAGCTGTTTCGTAAGTGTTCATATTGTAGAATTGCTGTATTGTAGCAAATTATAATGCAGGTAACTTATTGCTAACATAATGAGACATGCAAGTATACACTGGCTGTATATGTGAAGGCCTTGGTTGTAATCATTAAACTGATCTACTGAAGATTCACAGTTGCAGCACTGATGCTTCTCACAGGAAGCTATTTGTCTGATCCTCACTGATCTCAACAACGCCCTTTGGTACCCAGCATGGGGATCCTCACTCCAAATAAGGGTCACCAGAGCTTCACAGGAGGCACTTTTTGATTATAAGGGGTTTAAGAAAACTACATATGCAATAGGCCTGTATCAGATTTATTTCTGTGAAGAAAGTTAAATGAAAATGTTCTATTTATATATAATACTATTTATTATTGTTCAGGACAAGATATATATTTCTAAAAAATGTCACAGGATAAAGGCGCAGTGAAGATCTAAACACAAGCGATATTCACAGAGCCTTCACTCATCCTGCATTAGAAAATCAATGGACAAAAAGGACCTGTATCCGCAAAGGTCCAATGGTATACAAGTTTATGGATTTGGATCTGTATATCAAATCACATTATTATTTCATTAAAAAATCTTTCAAAGATCCAGTATCCATAATCTTCTGCATCTTAGACAAATAAAAATGTATCACCATTTTGAATAGTAAAAAATAATGGCACTTAAAACATTTCATTTGTCAAAAAGAAGCCTATTACGTATATATGATTTATCAAAATGTATTATACATAATAATGAGAGAGAATTGTAGAAAAAGTTTCTAAAAAATATCAGGAAAACTAATCTCTGACGCAATAATATTCATCCAAATTGCTCATTTTCCACAAACTTCCTGCAGTTACTATGTGTAATGTTATTGTTATGCATTGAATTCAATATGAAATATCCATACAATATGTCACTAATTCAGCTGATTTAATGATAGAAAATGGGAAAATGGTTGGAAACCACTGCTTTGAGAAATTATGCACAGCAGCAAAGACAAAGCCTATCCCAGACTGTCCATAACATGTTTGAATTGATCTCTTTCTGACCATAATCAAGGCTTCAACAAATAGACGAAGATGAGCCCTATGATGATGTCGGCATCATGAACCCTCCACCGCTCCCAAGTGAAGGTTGTGCCTCATTTTATATAATTTTACTAAATAAACCTACCGTTATTTTAATCGGTCACACAAGCAAATAAAATCAATTGTGGGAAGATTTCTGAATTCCTTGTTGCATTGTCTTCACAGAACATCCTTCAAAGAGGAGAGAGGTAATTCATTCATCCTGCCATTGTTAGATTGCTGTAGAAACCCAAGGTGCTGTAAGGAAATAGTATTCATTTTGACTGTTTGTTTTCATCAGTTTGATCTCTTTTGTCTCTACAGGCAGATTTGACTAAAGACATGAACCAGAACCTTAATAATAGAAGGTAAGAGTCAGGCAGGAATAAAGCTAATATTGTTGTGTATATATAAATTATATCGGTTTTTATCTCTCCAAAGGGAGAAATCTAAAGAAAATCAAGAAAGTAATAGCGGGAAAGAGGACACAAACCATGACAAAGTCACAGAGGAGAAACAGGCAGTAAGTGCTATTTCTGGGCTGAGTAAAGTTTGTACTTGCTACCAAAATGATGCCTTTAATATAAGTTTGCTGTGATAAACAGGAGCCAGAAATGTTATCTAAGAAAGAGAAGAAAGAGATGAAAAAACAACAGAAAACCAGAGAGAAGATCATCCAAGAAGCAAAGAAGTTGTTAAAGGTAAAAGCACAAAACTTACACTGCAAGCCAAAGTGATCCCTCATATGCTCATACGTGACTCAGATCAGTGTGAACAGCACACATCTTTTTCATTCTGATTTGGTCCACTTTCATATGTGGTCCAAATCAGATTCAGGTCTGACTCTTTGCAATCTGACCTCAGTGTGAACAGACATATCAGAATTTTTACGTCACTCTAGACTGACATTTGTCATGCGGGCCATAACAGCCATAACTGACATCTCCTTATCCTCAACTAGATTGAAGGACGTGTTCACATCAAGAGGGAGAAGACAGTTGTTGAACTTAAAGGAGGAAAATCCGAGTTGTCTCTGACTCAAGGAGAGATGGTGGGGGTCATCCACAGTACCGGTGACCCAGAGGGACAATGGCCGACCAGGGAAATGCAGGATTTCTGTACGTTGCTAACAGACATTCTGTGCTCACTATCAGTTACAACACGTAGCTGCCGAATGCTCACATAATACAGTGATGTGTGCTGATGCATGTGTCCTTTCAGATGACTATGTGAAGCCCGTTGATGTAGGCAATGATGATATAAAAAAGGAGAAGGAGGAAGAGGAGGAGCCAGAGTGGCACCAGTCTGATGCAGAGCCAGACCTTTATGACAGCTTTGGGGCACCAGCTGAGGTTTTCAGGTGCAGAACACCTCTAAAATACAGATTAAAAAAATAATCTAAGAAAAGTTCTTCCATCACACATATTATGATCTTTTGCTGATTTGATGGTTTCTCTCCTTTTTCAGCGGGCTCAGCGTGCAGAATGGTAAACTGTTTGTGTTGCTTTTGTGTAATTTAATGTGTTTAAATATGACAACAGTGAGCTCTCTACATAATCGCAATTTTTTCTTTCTTGTTTTTGAAACAGCCAAGGAGGAGGAGGATGTTTATGATGACGTGGATAATCCGCACACGAGGTTGTACTCTTTTTGTTTTGAGTGGATGGGTCAGATTGGGGCATTTGTTACTGCACAAATCACAGTGGGAGCAATTAAAGTAGATGCTAGTGATACACTGTAAAACCATATAAGTTAATTTGACTTGCTGAAACCGAAAACCTTGAATATTTTAAGTCAGACTAACTACATTTTCTAACCTAAACTGTAAAAACAAAATACAAATAAGTATTTACCATAATCAGGAATGTTTCTGTAACTTCAGTCGTAACTTGAACTAGTCAGTGTCACATAAGATTGCAAATTAAAGCTACTAAAGTTGCAAGAATCTTTTTTAATTTATAAAAAGTTTGTGTTACTTAAAATTTTCAATGCAATAGTTTTGAGTTAAAATAAGCTTATTACTTCACAGTGATATGGGAGACAACAGAGGTGGATGTTTAACTATAAACTGAAAGTCAGTTTCTTTGATGGAATCAAGTGTAAAATTGTACACAGAAAAAAAGTCTTACTATTTCAAATAGCAAAGAAGTCCTTTTCCAC